CTTCATTACTACAAAATAAATTGAGAAAAAAATCATATTTTTCTTCTTGGATGGCTCACCCCGTAACAGTAAAAACAAAATACCAGTTTAACCTTATTTGTTACGTAATTCCAAAGTTTACTTTTTTTTATGATTTATCGCCACTTTCAGGAAGAATTAGATATCGTCGTTGAAGAGTGGAACTTTCATCGGATTGCTGGGTCAAGAAATAGCATTGCACCAAGGGGACGTCCTTTTTTAATGTACTACATGCCTCAAATATATGGAACTTATGACTATTTATGCAGAGTAAATCACCATGGTTTAGGGGATTTTCCCACCCCATCCAAGATTGATGAACCTTGCGATAGAGATATATTTGAGCTAGCGTCTATAATAATGTCCGAAACTGGATTGACCTTAACCAGGGATCCTAGCAAAGCTATCGAATTATACATCCATTTAAAATCACAAATTCAATCACTATTATAACTCATTAATCAACTGTAATAAAACGCATAACATTTCAATAAAATTTCATAATTTTTTTTGATTTTTCTTTCCTACCGTAAAGTGCCAAAACTGTTCGAACTACAGTTTTAATATGTCTATGGTTTTAATAGTTATTTGTTTATTAAGAGCGCAAAACATGCCTTTTTCGATTTAGAAAATGTTGTCTTGAAATCGACTATGGCCTTTTGCGCTCGTAATACACAATAGTTTTTCTACAACATTTAATGATTTTCCATCAAAACTAAAGAAATTGAAATAAAATTGATTTTATGAATATTATATTTTTCATTGGGCAAAATTTATTGTCGCTTGTCTCTGAGGGCAGCAATCGATATAAAGTGAACTTTGTCGATTGTCTCCCATGGCAGCAATCGGTAAAGGTTTTTGCCAGGTGACAATCAGAAAACGTCAACTTTGTGTTGACTAACCAAATCGTCAGAATGAAACTTTTCATGTATCTTGTAGAAAAATCAATATAGGGTGTGGTTGGTATTTAATGGCAAGCTCCACACGCCCCCTGTGTATCTCGAGTCTTTTTGAGCAATTTTATTGAAACTTGGATTCATAATAAAGTGATTAAAGTCTATTTACAACGAGACCAACGAAAAAGACAGACCATGGCGCTAAAAGTCACGTGATCAACTTAGTCTCATTGTTGTGAGTTGTAATGAAGTTATTTGCTATATTGCTCCATCACGACCATGAGACATATGAGACTGAGTTAGTCACGTGGTTTTAGCGCCACGGCCTGTCTTTTCCGTTGGCATCGATTCACAATAAAGATAGACCCGAAGTGAAAACATTGGCTCTGTCACACTGGAGGTAATTTGTTGATTGATGGGGATCTGCCTTTATTCTGATTAGATATTAGGGCATCTTATAGTGACTAGTGCACAACGCCATAATAAAAAATTCTAACATTTTTATAGGTAGGCGGCAATTTAGTATTAACAAAAAACATGCTCTGGTATTTTTTATACTCCTTCGTTCGATAATAAATTTGTGTTCTCCCGTATAATTCCCAGCTTTTACTAAGGCTGAAGTCTAATTATTTAGGCAAACAATGACACGTAGGTATACGTCAAAAAGCTTAAAGAGTTTATTTTACATGATAAAATGAGGTTAGTAAGTCCTCCAGCAATCGGCGTTGTGGTACTACGGTTAGCATTTCAGCCTAGTAGCGCGTGGGCCCAGGTTCAATCCCTGGTCCTGGGTCCGGTCAACGTTGATGTTCATATTTGGTATTAAACAAGGAGCGCCATCCTTCGGAAAGCGATGCAAAACTGTTGGTTCCGTGTATCAGTGATGTGGTGCACGATAAAGATTCCTACCATCGACAAAGATGGGTTCGGCACAATTACCAGATAGAGTGTGACAAATTCCCTGGTAGCGGAAATAGGCCAACGAAAAATAAATTATTTAAAAAAAAAGTCCTTTAGCAAAATGTCGAATGCCGTTAAAATTTGGTTAAAAAATAATCATGTTCAGGGTCTGCCAACGAGGATTGAACAGGAAACTATTTTCGACTTTCCTTGTATTTTTTGGAGAAAACCAAAACAGCAGTTTGATGTAACTTTTTCAATGAAATGAGAATTTTTTTCTTCTATATACCTATAGCAGACCCAAGCAGCTCAGCGGTTGTGTCTTCGCTTTGCATGCAGTGGGTCTCGGGTTCGAATCCCGGCTAGGTGCATAGGCGGTTCTAGACCTTTTGATTTGGGGGGGCTGAAGCCCCTCGCAGATAAAGCATAAATGTACTTTTTCCAAATTTGTGAGATCCGATTGTGATACCCGAGGGTGTATTCACTAGAGGAAGCTCACCGCAGGTGCCGCCAGAGGGTACTCCGGCGAAGGCGGAAAATTCTGGTGGTGCCACGCCCAATTTTTACCCAAATATCGTTAAAATCGTTGAAAAAATCGCGCCCTCAGCGCCCTTTTGTGTTTGCTGGGCTGGGTGGTAGATATATGGATGGATGAGGACCTCGCGAGATTCGGGTTCTTGGGTATCCCGGGTCGAATGGACCAAAAGCAGCGCACGTTTATCCACTGCGCCAGCAGGCTCATACAAATTAATGGTTTGTTCCTATATTTAGATAAGGCACCACCGCGCAACGGGACAATTTGGCAACGTACCTTGCATTTTTTTTTCTTATGTGGTGCCCAAGTGCCAGTCGACAGTGGAGTGGGTGGACACACAGAAAAATTAATTATTTTATTTTATTTTTCTGTGTTTCTATCTACATAATTCCAGTAATTTCATTAATTATTTTATTTTATGAAATTACTGGAATTATGTAAGTAGATAGAATTTTTTCGATTGCCACATCCAAATTTGGGGGGGCTAATTCGAGATTTGGGGGGGCTTAGCCCCCCCCCCCCAAGCATCCACCTAGAACCGCCTATGGCTAGGTGCATGGATGTTTGTTTGTTTGATTTGGTTTGTGTGTGATGTTCGAGGCTTTGTCGACAACCACAGTGGTGGTACTGACTAGAAAGCAAAATTTAAAAAAAAAAAAAAAAATACAGGGTGCCCCAAATAGTTGTGACGAACGAAACAGTTTAAAGGCTCGTACCCTTAAAGGCTTAAAACTGTCAAGACCAACCTTGTATTCTTTATTGATGCTGTGCGTACGTACGTACTTGAAATACTGCTGCCAAAAGCAAAGCAAAGGCAGCCGGATTTTTATAGTATACGGGCGTGACCTATACTCAGGAAATTTACTCAATTTGTATTATCCGTGCATGGTCTGGTGAATTTTTATAAGTTGACAATATTTTTGGCAAACTCGTCAGCGTTAGGATAGGAGGCACGATATATCGAATTTCTTAGAATTCTATGACGATTTTAAACATAAACAAATATACAGGGCATTCCATTTAGAAAAGCTATGATTCGTTAGTAACAGCATTTTGGGACACCCCTGTAGCTATACTTATACCAAAGAGATTCATAAAATTTACGGAAAAAGTTACATCGAACTGCTATTTTGCATTTCTCCAAAAATACAGGGAAAGTCGAAAATAAGTTCTTGTTCATTCCTCGTAGCGGTCCCTGTACAGTCTGTTTTTCTTGAAATGCCTGAAATGTGCAAACATTTTAGGTTAAAGGTGGCAATGTCATCTAAACCACTCAACCCAAAACTTAGTTTAGAATATTTAGATATATTCTTCCAGATAAATTAGAACAGTTTTACCTATTGAGTCTGATATATCGAGAAATAAAACAATATCTCATAAAAAAATACTCTTTATTACAAAATAAAATTGACATTTCCAAAAAAAAAAAAAAACGCTTCTGTATATAGGAAACCCAAAATATGGATATGCTTATAACTTATAAGCATTATGAGTTAGTTATAAGGTAACTCGGTTAACATTCGTTATTTCAGAAACTGATCGCGCAACCTCGAGATTGCGTGTTTTTCTTTCTTTTTTCCTGCGAACTCGTGAAATTTTAAGAAAACACGCATGAGTGGAAAATTATCTTGTTCATTTTTAAGCACGAGTGGTATTTAGGAAGAATATTTCACAAATTCGAAAATATAGAGAAATAAATACCTAGTTGAATCCAGATAACCATTAAACTTGTCACAATTAAATAAAGCAAAGTTTTTTATGTTGATATACAGGTTGTCCTTTGTCAACGTGGTCTTTACACTTTGTTTTTTTCGATTTTGTCTTTTCCCTGTAATTTTTCGAAAATTTCAGTGCTCTCATGAGGTTTTTTATACATGAGACTTTATTGCTCTCTTCTCTTGGCTAGCCTCCTTTGTTTCAAGCTGTTGCCAATTTTTGGATTATTCAGGATATTGGAAATGCCTTGTAATAAGCTATCAGAGATGTCAGAGCAAAATTATAAATAATTTCACAGGTCCAGAATTACTATATCCCCCAGTTATCGCTGTTGTTTTCTATTTCAGTTATAGCTTCTGTTCTATTGCTGTTGCTGTTATTAGAACGATAAATAAATTTTGTATAAAAAAACATCTACTGAAGGAATATCTAATAATTTTGACCAATATATTATATACATTATTCGAATAAGAAAAAAACGTCTATAATGGATTTATAGACGTTTTTTTCTTATTCCTTCATTACGTCGCTGCATCTAATTTACGAACCTACATAAAAAGTGGTCGTATGACTTGGCGCTGACTTTAATAGTACACTTGATGCAAAGGCGTTTCCTATATCCTCGATAGTCGAATAATTGGCAATCACAGCTAAACAAAAGAGACTAGCCAAATTTGGTAAGAGCTACTATATTTTTCTCAAAAGCAGAAGGACGCGCGGTCTATTTCTATCTATAATGAATTTAAACCGAATTACCTTAGAACGACTTGTATGTACTTTGATTCACCCTAATAATACTTATTTGTCGTTCAAACTATATCCATCACCCATATGTTAGAGTTTAGCAAGGCATTAAATTCTGAACGGAAGTTAATAAAGTTTTCATATGTTAGTGGTATCTGCAAGAGCCCAGAGCAAGTGTGTGCCACGGGTACCCTTGCAAATCCATCAGATTCGCTAAAATCTATCGTAATTTTTTTATTTGCCATATCAGATCCTGTAACAAACCTAAGTAAAGCAGACCTGGTTTTCTGATCACATTCTTTCACATATTTTTTCAAAAACTCGACAATTTTATTTTCCCCTACAGAGAGGTTTGGTTTTAATTCGACCATGGATATCATATTCTTGGCTGTCGGTTGATATTTAGTATACATTGCCTGTATATCTATAAGGTCTTTGATTGTGTTAAAATGAGGACGAAAACATTCTTTGACAAAGGAAGGTTTTTGAATTAGTTCCGCGGTTGCTACTTGTAATAGTAATTGTTTGAAATTCTCCTTGGTGGGTAAACATTTTACAGCATAATTGTTGGAAAATTCCAACACTTCATCAAAATCGACCTCATCAAAGTTTTCTAGTGCGTTCTTTAGTAAAGTTGCTTCCGATTCAGAAATATACCTCAAAAAATTATCAAGAATATGTTTATCGCTTAGCTTGTGCCCAAAACAATCTTCTATGAAAATAGGTGCAATTTTTATTGGGAAATAAGATTCAGAAAGAAAACTTTCAGCTATGATTTTTCCCACAGCACTCCATTCTTCTTTTTGGAAGTCATGTCTCAACGCCGGAACTTTCAATTCCGCTCCCATCGTACCCATCTCGTAGAACGAAGCAAAAAATTCTGAAATGCAATCACGCAGCACTCCTCCTACATCTTCTGCTTCTTCAGGTTTACCATTGGGTAATATCATTTCTACTTGTACAGTACTGAATCGTATATTTCGGTTTTTCACGGCGTCTATCAGCTCTCGAAATATATTTCCTCTATGGAGAACTAATTTTTCTGTCCCGGTTTCTGGTTCTTGTACATGGTCATTCCAGAGTAAATCTGGTAAGTCTGGCATATCAAGCTCATACGATATATCATCATTTGGGACTGTTGATATCAAACCTTCGTTATGATTTGAACCGGTGAATGTATTTAGATCCTGGAAAAGAAATAAATATGTCGTCAGTTATGGAATAGGATACAGCTTAACTGCGTCTAGCAAGACTCGCGGACCAAGAATGGCAATAATATACAGTATCCAGAATTGGAAGGGAATGTATCGACATATAGGAAACTATAAGAGATGCGAGAGAGGTTGAATAAGAAAAATTGTAGGTAATTTAATTGTCAATTCAATGCCGCTCTTATAGTTTCATATATGCCAATATCTAAATTCCCATCCAATTCTGGATACCCTGTACAGGGTCATTTTTTATGTTACTCAAGCTTTCCTCATACCTAACTCGATTCGTTATCGAGATATTGATAAAAATCGAGAAACACCGTTGTGATCAGATTCCTTGGGTGTCTACTATGTCATGGAAACATTCCTGTGGCCTGCGAGATATCCAGATCTTACCCCATTAGATTTTTATGTATGAGGTCGGATATAAGATTTGGTTTACTCTTCAGCAGTTCAAAACCTAGACGATTAGACACATAGAATTATAGAGGCTTTCGACAGTATCGATTCCAATGAAATTAGACCTGCTACGCAATCTGTTGAAAATAGAAGAATGATTGAATCAAAATGGTAGTCACATTGAACATTTAATTTAGAACTGAATGGTTTTTGTATTCTTATAATATTTTGTTGTCGCTATTTTAGTTTATATCAATAATAATAAAACTTTTTGCTGTTGGTCTTGTTGTTTATTGATATTTTCTTTTTGCTGCTGTTGCTCTTGCTTATTTTTCATTTGGTTCTGGTTAATTCAATGTTACGATTTTCGTCTGTTTCCATGACATAGTACACACCCAAGGAATCTGATCCCAACGGTATTTCTCGAATTTTATCATAATCTCGATAACGAATCAAGTTAGGTATAGGGAACGCCTGAGTAATGTCCTGTAAAATTCAATTTTCTTTCGAATGGTGCCGAAAAACATAGTAGCTGCTATTTGAAATAGTTGACTCCTTGACCATTATCGATTCCGATGTTTGGAGGTCGCCTGCACCCATGTGGTATAAATTGGGCGCACTAAATGGAATATCAGAAGTTAGCCTGAACTCTCAACTAATTATCTTCTAAATTTGGTTTATTAATTTAGAACGGTTTTCGAGATATCCTGTTTAGCGTAAACAACTGCAACGGCAATTTTTTTCAAAAAACTTGGGTTGTTTAAACTACGAATTGCAAGGCCAATCGAACTATGTTGAAAAAAAATTAGGTTGCTATTTAAAATAGAAAAGTAATGCTGGGTTTATCCAACAAATAAAATAAAATAAAAAATAAATTAAAATAAGAAATAAGAGTTAAGAGGTAGGTATTATTTTATATTAGTTAGTTCTACCAAAAAAAAAAAAAAAAAATCCATAAGAAAGTCATATTTCTTTGTAGCGTTTGAAAGCTACTTGGTATTTAGTTGTGAATTTTATTCAAAAATGTCTTGGAGCAGCAGGTTGTACAGTACCGTTGATGACGTAGCTTAAATGTTGAAATGTATTTTTACCAGACAACCTCTCTCAGTTGTAACCTTGATTTTGCTACTCGCCAAATTTGATATTGTTTTCAGCTGATAATCTTAAACTGTTTATTATTATTATTATTATTATTGTTATTTTGTAAGATTATTGTGCAATATTTACAATGTGATCATTTCGTGTCCTTGCAAAGATTTGTTTTAATTTCGTGGGTTAGAGGACAGGACCAAAAAAGAAACTATCAAGCTTTTGGCAACGTTTCGGAATATATTTTTCCTTTTTCAAGCCCTGGAAAAGGGAAATACAAGCACTTAGTACAACAATAAATATACTGTTGTGAGTTAATTACAACTTTTAAGCCAAAATAAATAAATAAATAAAATAAAATAAATTGTTCCTTTCAGTACTTACTTAAACTATTGCTTCTGGAGTCCGTTCAGGATGGACAAAGGCACTTCTCATCATAATATTTAAGGGATGCAATCAATTTTTCACAAAAATTCGTTATTTTGAATTTAAAATTTGAAAGCTAACTGATTTTCACATCTGATTTTGTGAGGTTATATTAGTAGTAGTGATGGGCTGATTAAACATTTTTACCATCGAAATTTCTCTTAGTGATGGGTGATAATTGCTTAAACTCCTGAACAGAAACCATTTGAAAGGGAACATTTACAAATTATTTCAAATTTAAGAAAGAAATAATTGTTAATTCGTTTCAGAAAGAAACTTTTGTCATTATTAAAATGTATTGCATAGCATTAAAACTGAATTCAAAATAATTTAAAAGCTTTAAAATATGTGAACACTAAACTTAAATAACAAACCAATGTAACCAGTACCAACGAGGAAAGCATACAGACAAATTTAATATTAAAAGAAAGCTACTAATTGTGATTGAAGTTCCTTCCCTACAATAAGTTATAAACTAAGTTTATGTAGGCAAACATAAAGAATAAAATAAAATAAAATAAAATAAAATAAAATAAAATAAAATAAAATAAAAAATGAAATAAACTATTGTCACAAACAAGGCATAAAACTAGTCACAAACAATCACCAAAATTAATCATAATCACAGAGATATCACAGTATGTTAAAAAGGATTTTATTATTCAATGTTGTTGACATTTTTATAAGTCTGTAGTATGTTGTTGTATACTCCACTAAGTCTGTCTGTTGTGTCAATTTTGATATTTACTGTATTGTTTAAATTTATGTGAATCATCTCACTCACCTTTCGCTTATAAATCTGAGGTTCAGAGTCTACCATTTTAACTTCATCAAATTTGAAACGGTGGCCAGTTTCAAAATGATGTTTTGACAGTGCAGTCTTGTCTTCATTATACATTCTAACATTACGACAATCATACCTGTGTTGTTGAACTCTTTTGTCAAGATATTGCATTGTCTCGCCAATATAGCATTTGCCGCATTCACAGGGTATTTTGTAAACTACTGAGCTTCTTTTTCCTTCTGGTATCCTATCTTTAAGTGGTGTGAAAAAAGAGCTAGCGGTTTTTGGATTGTAAAAAGCTAGTTTCAGCTCCGAATTGTTAAAGCATCTGCCTATTTTTTGAGAGAGACCATCAATGTAAGGAAATTTGAAGTATTTTTGTTGAGTTTTAGTGTTACTTTTAGTTTTTGTTCTAAATCTATTTATATTTCTGTTTATGAAACTTAAAGGATAATTGTTGTTCATTAATTGTTTTTTGACTTTTTCCATATTAGTGGTGTGAAATTCTGGATGACTTAGATTGATGGCTCTGTGTAACAATCCATTTATAATTCCTATTTTGTTGGAGAGAGGATGGTTTGATAAATAATTTAAAATCCTACCAGAACTAGTGGGTTTTGAATACCAATTTGTAATAAGGGTACCATCAGGTTTGCGATGGATCTCCATATCCAGGAAACATATTTTGTTACCATTTTCTATCTCCATCGTGAATTGGAGTGATGGGTGGAAGCTGTTGAAGGTGTCTAGTAGTACATTGAGTTGGTCTTGAGGAGCTGACAATACTGTATCATCAACATAGACAAATATGAATGGGACATGGAAGTGTAGTCTTTTCAAAACTTCTGTGATGAGATGATTCATGACTAGATTAGCTAAAATTGGTGATGCAGGATTTCCCATAGCTGACCCATCTTTTTGTAAGTAAATATCACCATTATAGGAAAAATAACTTGTGTCAAAGCAATAATTTATTAGGTCAATTAAGTATTTTTTAGGAATGTCTGTGTAGTTTGAAATAAATCTGTGTTCAGAGTTAATAATATCCAAGACTATTTTCTTTGGTATGTTTGTGAACAGACTAATTACATCTAGGGACACTAGGACATGTCCATCAGGTACTACATGTTCCTTTATTACCTCTGCGAAATGGAAAGAGTCTTTTATGTTAAAGTGGAATGTTGTTGTTAAAGGATTGAGTATTTTATGTAGATACCTAGCTATGTTGTATCCCGGTGAGTTGACACAACTAACTACAGGCCTAAGATGTAAACCAGGCTTATGCGTCTTTCTCAAACAGTAAAGTTTTGGGGAAACTGAGTTGTGACGTTTCAATTCCTTTTCCTCTCTAATGCTGATCAGATTCTGTGTTTTCAGCTCAGTAATCATTTTGTTTGCGATGGTCTGAAATTTGTTTGTTGGGTCCCGGTTGGTGGATTGATATACATTAGTGTCACTCAGCATCTCAACTACTTTTTGGTGGTATTCACTTTTATCCATAAGAACAGTGGAGTTCCCTTTGTCTGATCGACTGACAATTATATTGGGATGGTCTTTGAGGAACTGTCTTGTTTTTTTAACTTTACCTAATAGGCCTTTGTTAGTAGTTGAGTCCTCTTTTCGGTAGAAATTCGTGATGATGTTGGTAGACTGGGCTCTCAGGTTGTCCTTTTCTTCATTCGAGATAGCCTGACTTCTTATACAATACTCGACATCTTTGATAATTGTGGGTATAGGTATCTCCTTCCTTGTAAGTGGGAGGCCAAACTTTAGTCCCAAACCAAGGATGGTTTGCACTTCTTCAGGTAACTGGACACCAGTATAGTTGTAGAGGTAGTTTTTACCCACTTTCAAGCATATCTCATTTTGTGTCTGTTCCAAGGATACAAGTTTCTTTATGTTGATTTCTTTAATTTTGTGAAATTCTGCATTATATCTGTTGTTATTTTCATTTAAACAGTATAAATAGGTTTCATCTGGGATAAGTTTTCGTAGTTCAGCCTTGATAAGTTCGATTGAGTCAGTTGTGGTTCTTAATTTCCATATCGTAATGTCAATTTCTAAGTTTAGTAGAGTTTTTTTGAACTTCCGTAGAATTTTGTCAGCCCTTTTTTGATAAGGGTGTTCCTCAGTGTAAAGTGGGTACATGCATTTTATGCTTCCGTTCAGGTGTTTTGGAAGAATGTCACTTTGTCTGCATTTTAATAGGAAAATTCTTCTATTTTTTAAGTTAGCTAATTTCAGTATGTCCCTTGACCATGTTTTTATGAGTACTAGTGCTTGTTCTCCATAACTGCTTCTGATGTTTGAAAAGAAACCCGCTTCATTAACTGTGATCATTTCGTGTCCTTGCAAAGATTTGTTTTAATTTCGTGGGTTAGAGGACAGGACCAAAAAAGAAACTATCAAGCTTTTGGCAACGTTTCGGAATATATTTTTCCTTTTTCAAGCCCTGGAAAAGGGAAATACAAGCACTTAGTACAACAATAAATATACTGTTGTGAGTTAATTACAACTTTTAAGCCAAAATAAATAAATAAATAAAATAAAATAAATTGTTCCTTTCAGTACTTACTTAAACTATTGCTTCTGTTTTTTGTGAAAAATTGATTGCATCCCTTAAATATTATGATGAGAAGTGCCTTTGTCCATCCTGAACGGACTCCAGAAGCAATAGTTTAAGTAAGTACTGAAAGGAACAATTTATTTTATTTTATTTATTTATTTATTTTGGCTTAAAAGTTGTAATTAACTCACAACAGTATATTTATTGTTGTACTAAGTGCTTGTATTTCCCTTTTCCAGGGCTTGAAAAAGGAAAAATATATTCCGAAACGTTGCCAAAAGCTTGATAGTTTCTTTTTTGGTCCTGTCCTCTAACCCACGAAATTAAAACAAATATTTACAATGTTACCGTTTAAGGCTATATTTGAGGTTTAATAATGAGATGTAAATAATTTTAAGTTAAGTTAATGTTGTATACAGGCCCTTAGGTTTGTTGCTAAATTCATGCTCCGAATGTCATGTCATTCCTTCCTGTCGTTCTCCAAGCCACTTTTCTGGGCTGCGTTCGAAAACAGTCCCCGAGTATCCCCGGCTACCTCGATATCGTCCGAAAACTCATTGGGTACACTCGGG